TTGTCAGTCTTTGACGTCTTGACTTTGATTTGACAGGAAGCAGAGATGCTGAGACAGTTCAGAAGAAAAATCACCAGGAGTCACAGCAACAGCTAAGGAAGCTTATATGGAAGTAATTTTAATTTTCTTCTTTCTTTCCCCTTTCTTTCTTTTGGGGATAAATCAATTAAATAGTGAAAAAAGTGCATTATTCCTTTAAAAATCTTCTTCTCATGGGCAATAAATAAACTAACCAGGTACATAATTATGTTGAATAAGGCTGCCTCTTTCAAAATTGCGAATTTCATTTGGTCCCAGGATCGGGGGTTCTGTTGTAAGGGTAAAGTTCGTTTGATACATACTTTATACAGGGTCATTTTAGCTCCATGTTATTTTCGCCCTTTCACGCATAGAAAATATCCTGCCCAGTTTTATATTTGCACAGTTAAAATTCTTTTTAAGAAACCATTCTGTGTTTTATAAGTTCAACCCAGTTTTAAATTCACCCTCATGTGAGTAGGGCAAATGGGGAGAAAATAAAACAGGGGCGAAAATTTCCCTGTATACAGTAGTGAAATTGCATTTTTTCTTTGAAAATCTTCTCTTCTCCTGGATAACAAACAAATTAACCATGTACATACTTATGATGAGCAAGAAAGTCTCTTCCAAAATTGTGAATCTCATGGACCCTGGGTCAGGGGTTCTGGAGTTAGGTTGGGGCTCTATTGATTATTTAGTGAAAAAGCATGAATTTTTTGAAAATCTTCTCTACTACTGGGTATTAGACAAACTAAGTACATAGTTATGATGAGTTAGAAAGCCTCTTCCAAAATTGTGAATTTTATGGCCTCTGTGTTGAGTGTTTTGGAGTTAGGGCAGGGCTCTATTGATTATATAGTGAAAATACACTAATTCATTAAAATCTTGTACTCTGCTCCTGGGTATGAAATAAACTAACCAAGTACATAGTTATTTTGAATGATGGTGTAAAAAAGCGACGACATCCTAACATCCAGACATGTCTTAAACTTATTAGAACCCGACACTCTTAATGAAGCATTTGGTCAGTAGCTCATTTGTTAAATTAATTAAGAGTGTTTCGGCAGTATTAATAGCACATGTCATTTTATAATTGTGATACGGCCTGCCATCATCAGGGGTCTACCATATGCATAAATCAATCAATTTCTTTGAACTTCATTTGATTTTAATTTAGATCTAATGATAAGATCGCCTATATTCTTGTGTTTGCTGTATGCCACCATAGGGGCTGTTGTGAATAATTCTTTGCATACATCATCATCAAGTATGTAACTCCAATATTTCATAAGTCGTTTCCTTAACCCCTTTATACATGGGTTAAACTTGGTGACCAAAACGTTTGGTACAGCCTTTTTGTTGTTTTTCTTCTTTGATTTTTGAAGAAGATCCATTCTATTTGCAGAAATAGTTTCTTGCATAATAGGTTCAATTTCTGAATGTTTATAACCTCTTTTTTCGAGATGAGTTTTGAAATCTCTAAAGATAACTTGCAGTACAGCTTGATCACTAGTATTTCTCAGATGTCTGGTACATTCTCCTTTAATTAGGCCCTTGAAAACTGATGGGCTATGAGCACTTTGCCTGTGCAAGTATTGGAAGCTTTTAGTAGGTTTGATATACCAGCGAATGTCTAATCGCTGGCTATCTAAGAATCTTGATCCTTTGTAAATAGTAGTGTCTAAGAAGTTGACACTTGTGTGAGATATTTCATGAGTGAATCTCAAATATTTATGACAAGAGTTCCCTATGTCAAAAAATTCTTTAATATCATCCGGGCTTCCGTTAAATAGGGTAAAGCCGTCATCTCTAAATCTACCGTGATAAATAAGTTTGTCGGCATGTTGAAATTTAGATATTACATCATCAGTGATGTCTTTCATACGTATATCTGTAATTTCTGGTGACGGGCGTGCCCCCATCGCCGCGCCTATGATTTGTTTGTAGTATCGTCCGTTAAACTCGAAATAATTATTTTCAAGTATACATCTGAGAAAAAAGATAAGATCAGAACTGCAAGGTCGAGATAATTCCAGATTAGAATTGTCTGCGCGGGTATGTTAAGGCAGCACATGGAGCAGAATTCGGCAAATTAACACTTTTTTATAATTATGTAACACTAATAAATTGGAAAAGTCAAGCATAAAACTTTTATTATAATTATGCATTCTATAGACTTCAATGGGACTTATACTACATGAAGCACTTCACCACGACGTCAGCACGTGACGTCTATAATTAGAAAACATGCCTTAATGAAAAAGTGAAAAGTTCAACACTACCCCGGGGATAATTAATTTCAATTTGTAATAATAATTATGTAAAAACATCTCTGTACCATGAAAAGTGCTGCTAGAATCCTACTGTCATATCACAGAAAAAATTATTCAACACTTTCTGACGAAACCTTCCCAAAATTTTTACATTGTGTTCATGACATCGAAAAAACCCCATTAATTCCCGTAAACCATACGATTCTAGCAGCACTTTCCAAAAACAATAGAATAAGAACATTAAATAGAAACATAAATTAAGTTTCAAAGTGTGCGGCGTTGTGTTGAACTTTTGCATCTTATTTGTTACGAACGACAGAGGAAAGGCTGATCGGCAAGTAAACACCCTCCCTGCTTTAATTTTACGAAGAAATTGTTGAAGTATATTACCATACCTTATTCATAAGCTTTATTCCCACATGAATCACACATGATATTCATTCTTAATGCTTTTAAACTCCGATTTCTTGTGTTTGTTTACATGAATTCTCGTTACGTTTCACTTTCACTCTGCTACTGCATGATCAACAGTTATGACGTCACGGGTTTGGTATCTAACCCCTGTGATAACTACAGAGACCCAGAAACGACAAAATTCTGTTTGTATAATGCCTTTGCATATTTTGATTAATTTTTACGACCTCAAATCAATCCTAGATATCGATTATAAGAATTTGTTATCTCTAAACTTCACGTCATATAGCTTACTATGACGTCATATCATATAGGCAAGTAGAATATTTGGTTGTAACCTTAACCTACCTGCGTGTTAAATATGCTTTCTCGACAGATTGTAGCAATTCAAATTCCATGTTGGTGTACATGCTGGTTACATCATAAGTAACCAGGATGACATTTTCAGGTACAATCAAAGATTCGATTTTCAAAAGCCTCTTCCAAAATTAAGAATTTTATAGCCCCTGGGTTGGCGGTACTGGTGTTAGGACGGGGCTCTATTGATTATATAGTGAAAATGCATAAATTCTTTAAAAATCTTCTCTGTTTCTGGGTATTAAACCAATAAATTATGTACAGTAAAACTCGTTTAGTACGAACATGGATATTGCAAATTCACGGATATAGCAAAGTTATCTTGGATCCCCATATATATAAATTTAATGAATTCCTTATACGGATATAACGAATTACGTATATAGCGAAGTAATTTGATAGGTTCTAGTGACTTCGTTATGACCGAGTTTTACTGTACATAGTAATAGATGGGAAAAATGAAACTCGTGTGGATTTATTGTTAGGTAGTGTAGTAGTTGAATAAGGAGGTTGCTGGCTCTTCATCATTGGAGATGGCGGATTAAGCATTTGGAGGAGGCTGGGAATATTGGATTGGAACAGCATGCCAACAACACTGGAATGGGGGTATTTCTTAGTCATTAAAGAATAGCAGAAGTAAGTTTGTTTCATTATTATTTTGGCCCACCTACTGAGTACTAACATTTCTGAGATTTACCGTTTGGGATCTTCTTGATCCTTTGTGTTTCCATCGGTTGTTTGCGGTGGCCACCTTTGATGTGTTTCCTGCTGCATTCAGAAGGTAAGAGGTGTATAGTAGTTGTAAGTAGCTTTACTTAGGTATTTCTTAGTGTTAGGTTTGGTTTGTATAGTGTTTCCGTTGGGTGCAGTTGTGTTGTAGTTTAAGTTAGTAACTAGTAAGTAGGTTTTAGTTGTTAGTTAGGCATTTTAGAGTTCTTTAGGAGTGTAGGTTATTATTGTAATTAAGGTATTTGTTAGTTAGTGCATGATTAGTGCTTGTGGTGGATAGGTTTGCATGATTAACACCCTAACAAGCAGGGTTCTCGATCCATGAGCTGTTTTACTGTGTTGGTCCCGACACAGAAAAATGTTCTCTGACACAGTAATGATTCAAATTTTATCTGTGTGAACAGGAAAAATTTTGCCAACACAGTTGAAAAATTTTGCCAACACAGTTAAGATCTGTGATAATAAGAAAATTGAAACATACAAATTCTCGCTATCTGAAACATTATTAATCAAACAATTCTACCGTCTTTCAATTCTAAAAGGTATCTAGAGCACTTAATTACGGTTTCACCTTGCGTAATCATTTCCTAGACCCAGGAGTCGCCAGACTTTATGAAGGAACAAAGACAAATAATTGGTTTTCATACTTACATGTAACTGTTAATTGGTACTTGTAGTTGCAATTAAAGTACATTGTATTATTTTTAAAAATATATTTAAATGTCTTTTCTATAGAGCCATGGCTCTAGAATTATATATGTTGGCAATGTAAATCAAACATAACACTGTACCGAAATCATTTACTTGATGTAAATAAATAGTTTTAAATTTTCAAGGAACTTTTAAAAGTATTTTACTATTCCGAAGTCTATTTTTTTTGTAATTCCTTAATTCGATCAAGAAAATTGACAAAAAAATTATGACAAATTTGCTTTAAAAAATTGTAAGTAGTTCAACTTTATCGACAAGAATTTCCCCTGCATTTCATAATATGTGCTAATATGTTCGACCATACTATTTTTGTAATGAATTAGTGATTTTTTTTTTTTTAAAGTGTGTGCATGTATTCTTAAGTAATTATAATGAATAGTGATTCAGTTGCAAATTTGATCGCTAAAATACCATGAAATTTTAGTGCTTTGCGTGAACTCTGCAACACAGTAAAATTTCAGATGATGGAGAACCCTGAACAAGTAACAAGCTACTAAAACTACTAACGTCTGCTAAATGTTGTGTGACGCGTCTAGTGTGTTGGTGTTAGTGTCTGTGTGCTTGTCACCTCTCGCTTTCAGCCATCACCGCTGGCTAGCAGCAATGCGAAAAGGGAAGGAATTTTAGTCTTTCCCTGCCAGTACATAGCCTCTCCACAACAAGTCCTATGCGATGCCTCCACGTGGAAGCAGACGGATACTGGGTATCATTTTGTCCCAGGCTAAGTTCGCAAGGGCGCACAGGAAGAGGAGTCTCAAAAGCATTGGTAAACATCTCATATAGGAGAGAAAACTGATCACAAACCCAATTTAGTAGTAGAATCAATTGATATAAGTGATGGCTGTTAAAAGAAGTGAACCTTTGTCCATTTAATGTCATTATCATCTTTGTTGTAAACTTTCACATTTTCATCTTCGTCAAAATTCAAAGAAACTTGGCACAGAGTATCCTTGAGTAAATGCCATTATGGGATTCAAGTTTATTCAAATGAAGGCCCACTCCCTCTTCAGATTGGAGATTATTACAAATAAGTGAAAAATTAAGGACATCTTTTAAAAATCTTCTTTTTAAGAACCACTGAAACAGGAAAGAGACACTTATGTGGCATCATCCTCAGGTAGTGTAGGTTCAAAATTAGTCAAATCAAGACCCCATGGTGGGATCATAATAGGGGATCAAAAATATATATAATATATAGGAAAATGCATATTTTTTTTATTTTTACAAGAACAACAGCCACAATTAGTCATATTGATGGGAAATCATCCTTTTGGTTGTGAAGATTTCATTTTTCAAATCGTCTCCACCGGGGAAAGGTTTGGGCCACAATGGACATCAAAGTTTTACATTCACCAGGATTAAACATAGGAAAAATCTTAAGAAGAAATCTTCTCAGAAACAAAAATGTCATGACTGGTCATATTTATACGGTAGCATCTTCATGTAGATTTAAATTTGTTCAAATCATGATCCCCAGGGGTAGGACAGGGCCCCAATGGTGAATCAAAATGGATGGGGGAATATATGGGAAAAGTCTTCTCAATAACACAAAAGCCTGGCATATATAGTCATATTGATATGGAAGCATCCTTAGGTAGTGTAGATTCACATTTGTTCAAATCTTTATCCCAGAGGGCAGGGAGGGGCATCAATGGGGGATGAAATTTTAACAAAGGAATATACTGTAGACATTCTTTTTTCCAAGGGATCATAATTCTGCGTAATCTCAAATTCTGTTTAATCCGCGGGTAGAAAATTATGCGGTTTTAATAGATTGTCACTATATGCCTTTCATTTATATTAAGTACGCTTGAACAAATATCCGCGGAGAATTTGTGACCGCGTACATAGCGTAAATTAATACCACATGGAAAAAAGTACTTCTACAGTATAGGAAAAAATCTTATGTTCAAGAACAGTTAATTAAGCCATTGTTATTGATATGAAAATGTCTTCAGGTATTTATTCCAGCCCCATTCTCCTCTTCCTAAAATTTATACTTTTCAATACTGGACTAATTTGTGCATTTACTAGTCATTATGCTTAGGTGAGCATATTGCCCATTGGCCACTTGTTTACTTTAGAAATCTTCTCACTTTGTATGAAGTACAATTGATCCCCTTTTGGTGTCTGTTTTTATCTTTTTAAGCAGAATAATGTTAAGGCTGAACAGGATCCAGAAGTGAGGAGGACTCCCTCTCTGAACTGCAGACAGCAGCAGAAAGCAGGTTAAGATTCAGACTTTACTTCTTATATCTTTGCTTGCCAATTGATGTTGGCTGTACCAAGCTTTAACCTCTGGACTTTCAATCAACAGATTTCGGTTCCTCTTTGATTCAGAAGAGGAACAACAATGGAGGACCAAGGTCATTAATATAAGAAGAGTCTATTCCTGTCTGTGTTTTACAGACATCATTTCTCAAAAGTGGTAAGCAACAAGCTGCTTTTTACTGAAGCTTCTCACTTGATATTAAGTGCAAGTGTAAATTGATTGCTTCAATTGACAAAAATGCCACTTTGAAATGAGAAAATTAAAATTTAATGTAGCATGTGTACCGGTAAAATCCATAGTCAGATTTGTCATAAACCACAAAAAGACTGTTACAATTTATCACCAGCCCATTACTTTGAAATAAAGGGAAAACACTGTGGTATGTGGTACTTGCATCCTCGCAATGTCAGGGGTTTTGCATCAAATACGGTAGTTGCCATTCGGAACCCCTGACAGATTCCATTCAGTTTTATTTGTTATTATCTCATTTTTTCTTCAGTGAAACAACTTTTGAACATGGCAGATAAAGAGGACTCATTTGAGCTGGACTTTGATATTTTTTGAGCCAACCATTTCAGCATTTGCAGAGCTGTTCAATGAAAAAGAAAAGATGCAGGTAAAAAAATAAAGCATTTTAAAACTTATTGAAATCCTGGGTAACTCAGAGAAGTTGTGCAACAGATAGAGGTGATGGACATCCTACTTAATTTATAAGCTCTCGCTATGGAAATGTCCAAATAATCTTTTATTGATAGAATTTTTATTGCTTATTCATACACCAATTTTATTCAAAATGAAAATATACAGCATTTACAGCTATTCTGTGAAATTTATCTCAGAGAAACTATTCTACTTTGCTAGTTTATCTTGCAACCAAAATTTTTATAGCATATTTTTAAGGTACATGTTTATTTGGATAAAAATTCTGTATATGATTGTTGCTGTGAACAGAATTAAAAAAGACCGAAATTATTAGTTCACAGGCCAGGTTCCATTGTGGACAAAAAAATGTAATTGTGGGCATCACGCTTTTCATGTGTGGTTGAATAAACAAAGAACATATTTCCTTACAGTTGACAAATCTGGTTTATGAAGGGTCATCGAGAGGTGGTTCTCTCTATTTACAGGCTTGGAACAGCTTTGTAAACAGTTCAGAGGAGGAGCAGGAAAGAATCATCAGTGGAAGATCAATCCCAGAAATCATCACTGAAGAGGAAGTGGAGGGCGACTTCCAGATGGTGGAGAGGACGACGGAAAATACCACAGACAAAAGGAAATGTAAGAGAGAAAGAGAGGGATACCAGTAAATCTGTCAAAATTTAGGCAGATAAACAGAAATTGTCCTTTGGAATATCACATTGTTTATGAAACTCGCCTTTAGTTTTTTTTTGACAATGTTTTGAAGATATTGTAAAGTGTATTCTTTTGATTTTTAAGTTCAAAAGTGTAATCAAAAAGTTTAAAACCCTTTGCTTTAGCGTTGAAATATAATTTCAGGTGCTAGTTTCTCAAAACATCATAGACATGGGTATAATCATTTTACACATCTTTACAGACCTCAATCATTTCATTCCATGTTGATATAAGTGAAAAAAATAACATTTATTAGTACATGTATCACTTGAGTTTGTTGTCATCATTCTGTGAGAGATTGGATTTTACCTTGTTATATTGCCGAATGTGTACATAGTTAGAGCTACAATTATCTTGACTTTTTAGCTCACCTCAACGAAGTTGGGGGAGCTTATGTAATACCCTCGGCGTCGGCGTCCCAGGTTAAGGTTAAGTTTTTTGGAGCAGTTTTCTTTTTAAGTACTTTTATGTCCTATTTTGATTAGACATGCATGGAAGATGGTTCTACTGTGTTTCATTGTACCATTCAAAGTTTCAGATGCTGCAGTTTCAGCAAAGGAATGACCAGGTTAATGTTTTTGGAGCAGGTTAACATTTTTGGTGCAGTTTTTGGTGTAGATTTCATTTCCAAGTTACTATAAGCCCTATGTTGGCCAAACTTGCATGGATGATACATCTAAGGATGCATACTACCGGGCTTGCTTCGGATGCTGAATCTGACCTACATTTTCCAGTTGAGTGAACAGGTTAAAGTTTTTGGTGCAGGTTTCATTTGCAAGTAACTTTAAGCCCTATGTTGACCAAACTTGCATGCATGATACATCTAAGGATGAATATTACCGGGCTTGCTTCGGATGCTGCATCTGACCTACATTTTCCAGTTGAATGAACAGGTTAAAGTTTTTGGTGCAGGTTTCATTTGCAAGTAACTTTAAGCCCTATGTTGACCAAACTTGCATGGATGATACATCTAAGGATGCACACTACTGGGCTTGCTTCGGATGCTGAATCTGACCTACATTTTCTGGTTGAGTGAACAGGTTAAAGTTTTTGGTGCAGGTTTCATTTCCAAGTAACTATAAGTCCTATGTTGACCAATCTTGCATGGATGATACATCTAAGGATGCATACTACCAGGCTTGCTTCAGATGCTGAATCTGACCTACTTTTTGTGGATGACTGAAAATGTTAGTTTTTAATACATGTTTCATTTCCAATTAACTATGAGCCCTATAATGAGCAAACTTGCATGGACGATACATCTTAGGATGCACACTAATGGACTTGCTTCGGATGCTGAATTTGACATACATTTTTCAGATAATAGACCAGGTAAAAGTTATGGTTGCAGGTCTATTACCAAAAACCTATAAGGCTCATATAACATAGTATAAACCGAACTTGCACAAATGTTGCATCAAGAGATGAAAATCTCAAATTTGCTTCAGATGCTGGATTTTGATTACATTTTCATTAAGAAGAACTAGTTTAAATTTTTTATGTAGGTCTATTTCAAAGTATCAGATCAAAATTGCTTAAATATTTTCATTTTTGGAATGTACACTTTTTTTTGGGTTAATTGTGTGACTTTGCCTTACTTAAAGACAACATTCGTTGAGGTGAGCTCTGTAATCTCTGATTACCTATGTTTTATGTTTCAGATCATCCATCTTATACTGCAGAGGAATGTTTCCAGAGGATTGACAAGAAAATTAAAACCCATCTGAGAAGAAAACATATCCCACTGGTATGTAGATATAAACCCTTGATAGGGGTTAAAGTAAATAAAGGAAAACATAAAATATTACCGGTATCATCAAAGACAGTATGCACATAAATATCAACTTAATTAAACGTTTTTCTAAGTATGTATTCAGATCCACCTCAAATTCTTATCAATTTTCACATGTAATACCAGTATCACAGTGACTTGATGGGATGAACAGTGGTTCCTTAGTTCAATAAGTGGTTCTACTCATAGTACAGTTCAATATCGAGGTAAATGCCAGATTTTCTGTGTTTCTGTTTGTAGGAATTCCTGATGAGTCTGGAGGAGAATGTGATCGAGTTCTTCAGATCTTGGCCAGACTCTGTGTACATCCAGCATCTAAGGGGAGGGTTCGAGAGAATGATGCTGCACG